GGTGTATATAAATAGTCATAGTTTATATCGTTATTTGTACAATTCATTCAATAAAAGAAATCCTTATTTCCATATTCTCTCTCTATTCTCTTCTCACTAAAAGTGCCTCACGCACTAACAATTAGATCGTGGAGTCTCTAAGAGTATTTTCAATTTGAAGGAAAACACATTAAGGTAAGGGCTTTTCCCCATGTAACTCTAAACTAGACTCGAGTTAGGAATTAGTTAAATATTATATGCGTATTTTCATGTTTTAGAGATTTCAATTATTGGAAACCTAAAATTAAAATTATGTATTTTGAAGTAAAAGTAGAAATGACAATTTGACCCATCCCCAGTGGGTACCCGCAAAAATTACCCACAACAAATAGGGTAAAAACCCACAAAATAGGTACAAGCATGAGCACATGAAATTACCCACTAAAATAAGCGGGTATGTAGTGTAATTTCATACAAAAGTTACTCCAAGGAGACTTTAACGAAATCACAACTACAACACTTTCAAAATATATAAATGACTTGGTGTTTTTCTCAATGTTACATGGATTTGTATAGGACCTAAATACATGAAGAATAGTTTAAATTTGTATAATGAGGCCTTGGTGATGAAGAGAAACAATTGAAATAGTTAGAAATTGAAGGGTCATGGAAAACATCAATTGTCAAAATAGTGCCAGAGGACAACCTCTAGTGTGCTACAGGCCGTAGTACTAGCTACGTGCAGACCGTAGCCCATCAGGTTTCTTATATAGGGCTTAGAATAGAAATAAAAAGGTGCTCCCACTATTATTCATAGTGTCTTCTACGATCAATCTGTAGTGGGCTATGATTTTTGTACCAGAGACCCATTCCTTGTGCAATATTAGTGTAATATGACTTGGTTTAGCTCCAATTTATCTTGTTTCGCTCTTTTCATCTTAAACAAAGAAAACACACATATAAGACAATAAAATTCACCAAAATAGGGTTCAAATACTTAACATTTATAGAAAAAACACACTAAAAATATATTTAAGAATGCCAGGAATTAATAATTTTATACATTGAAATATCCCTTACACTCACTTAGATTGAATCCATTACAATGTTTTTCATTTTAAACAAATTGGTCAAATTCGACTATACGTTCCTTGAACTACAAGTTAGAAGTCTTAAAATAATGTGTTTTTAAAGCTAATTTGAATCACGACTTTGGTTGGTTCAAATCACTAAATAAAAGGAAATTTTGGATTTTGGTGTTGTGAATGTGATTCGAATCAAGGATATGTATGTTTTAAATTAAAGACACCTTGATGTGAATCATAGCCATGATTGATTCGAATCATGACTAAATAAATTCTTTTGAAAATCACCTCTAGTTGTATGATTCAAATTATATAATTGTTTAATTTGAATAACATGAGTCAAATATGATTTGAATAAAACAACCTATTTCCATAATTTATCCCCTCGATTCAAGTCATTCTTTCATCAAATTGAAACTATAATTGTAGGATCTGACTCAAATCAATTACTTTATTTTTCATCTATTTTGTTCCTTACATCTAGCACATATATAAGCCACTTCGTGTCATTAAAAAAAGAGAATGACGATTTAATTATAATTAGTGAATCCAATATTTTCACAAATCTAGAAAAATCGTGAGTGTTATTTCTTTCACAAACATCTTCTCTCTCTCTCTCTCTCTCTCTCTCTCTCTCTCTCTCTAAAAAATCAAGCCTATAGAAAAAACTTCATAGAGTGTTGATTGATAGAGTTCAAACAAGTAGTTGAGTGAGATTATTTAGACAACCAATCATCTTCAAGCTTGAACCAACAACCCTATTGTCGTGGTACTCAACTATAAAGATTGAATATGAGTGGTAGTTGTAATTTACAAAAGTACATTGAACGTAATATTTTTTGAGAAGATTTTTCTGTGTAACGGATTAAAGTATTGATTTGTGATTATGGTGTATAAAGACTAACTTCCACCAAAGAAAAAGATTAATTTCTTCTCTATTGAACTTCAGTAGAACCATGTGAAGGTTGTTTTAGATTAAGTTGAGAATTTTTAGTAGAACAAAGTCTCAAACAAGGGGCTTTTGGTAGGGTTTAGTGAAGACTGTTACAGGTGGAAACATGGAACAAAACTTTGGTTCTAGCAAGGAAATTTTCTCAATATCTAGTGAAGATCTTGTGAATTTGGCAGTTTTTAGTGTTCTCCTACAACATAAGGGAAATCTAGATTCAAACATGTGTTTGCTTAAATATTGTTTGGCTTGAAGTATTATGTGTTGTCTTGATTATCTGTTGCATCAAAAACTCTTGTATATTAATTTATAGATAGTTGGAGACCTAACAAATTTTCACAATACGTCATTGAAGATTGGACTAAGCGCTAGTGAGGACGAATGCGATGAACCAATATAACGCTGATGCACAAATCTCTCTTTCCCTATCTCTTTTAAAGTTCTAGTATTAGTTTGCATGACTTAGGCTTTATCACTTTCTAGAATCACATATATTTTATCTACTTATAGTGATTTATTATGTAAGTGTGTGTATGTGATAAATTTAGTTATTTGAATCTTCTTTTTGTGATTATGACTGTATAGATTCTTTATGTTGGATATGTTATTCGACTAATAAGATTCAGTTTAAACTTTATGTGTAAATTGAAATAGGTTAATTGATGCATTACTTGATTAAACATCTCCATCTTTCATAATTATTGTATTTTTCTGATAATCTGAGTAAACTGTGAAATCTATTCAAATGTACATTTTATAAAACTCTACTGTCACACTTTTACCTTTAAAAATAAGATTTCTGAAGAAAATGTTTTTAAAATGATTTTAGGAAAAAGGTCTATTCAGCCTCTCTTCTAGGCCATTTTGCACATATATTCTCTCTCAACATAGACAACAAATGAATTTTGTCCATATAAAAACGATTGAATACATTTTCTATATAAGTTTCTTGATGTACAAAAATGCCATTATCCAAATGCTCATTTTGTAATTTTAAACAGAACGTTGTCTTAGCTTAGTCCTTCATTTTAAACTATTTATTTAAGTAATCTGTAGTTTTTGAAAACTCTTCAAATGTCCTAGTAATATTTATGTCATTAACATAAATAACAATTATAGTAAATTATCTTTAAGTTCTTTTCATTACAATACAAAGACAAATGAAACATTTGTATGTCTTCCTTTAACACATATTATAAATGTTATTATCAAGCGAATCATACAACTAAGTTGTTACAAGATCAATCATGTATAACTTATGACCTTTGTATGCTACATGCCTAATTAAATATCAAAATTTTTTAACATCTACTATAAATAAATATGTCTTATCAAAATCAATCACATGTTTTCTAAAAATCCTTGAACAACAAATTAAATTTTTTACCTCACAATCTCATTTCATTTTTGCCCAAAAACCCTTGTATCGAACTAGTTTCACACCTTGAAGTATTTAGACTTCAAGTTCAACAATTTCTCACTTGTAAAACAAATTTAATTTTCTATCACTTACACACATTTCAAAAATACACAAACAAATAATTGATATAAAAAGAATTAATTTTCTATTTTCAATCACATAATATTTTTGTTACAAGTTAAAGGTGAAGCTGTGGCCCATCTTATATTGGACCCACACAAAAACATGAAATTGTGGACATTGGCCAGTTATTTTTCTGAGCCTGGTCACACTCACCTTTTCTCCTTTGTCCTTTTTGTTTTTTTTTTCTTTCTGACCCTCCCATAAAATTCTCAACAATGAAGAAACCTATCCAAATCAAGTCTAATTAATTTTACAAGAATTCTTAAAATTTCTTATTAATACAAACATTTGATTTAATAATCAACATGTCATCTTTATTCCCTTTTTTCTTTTAAACAATTTGCACGGCTATAATTTATTGCTTATGGTTGAACTTTTCTATCAAACATTATTATACATCATTATAAAAATAAACCACTTATGATCTTTGATACACTTTCAAAAAACATACTATTTTATTCATCATATTTTAGAATTAATTATAATTTTGTTTATGATAAATTTTATTAATAAAAAGTTTAAAAAAATATAAGATTTAAAAGCTTTTTGTATTTCTCTTATTTTAAACAATATATCAACAAAATAAATAAATAATAATAATATATTATAAAATAAAAAATAATGAATATTATACAAAATACCTGTATTATACTATATGTATTTTCTACCCTCAATCATGAAATAGAGATGAGAAAGACAGAAAAAGAGTGAGAGAGAAGCAGTACTTTTCAGAATAAGCGATTCACTGTGTCTCTCTGACTTCGATGCATGCAAGAGGCTGAACAAGATGATGCAAAAATTCTTCAAATTGTTAGATTAAGTAAGAAAAATGTGTAGATAAAGTGTTCTATGAACTTGTGCTATTTTCTGCTGCAATAATTTGCATATATATATTTCTCTTTGAAAAAAAGTAGGTTAATTTAAGGTAAATTTGTCTGTTCCTTAATTTCTGACATCAATCTAATGAATTCTTGGATTTTCTGTTTCTATTATGTTTCTTCAAATGTGTGACTGTTGAAGTTCATTTTGTAGAATGTGTTGTGGTTTTTTACTTTTCTTTTCTTCTTCTGAGTAATAATCAGAGACCCTTCGATTATTTTACTAGATTTTTCAATTATATTGTTTTGGATGATAATCAGATTCTGAATGAGGTGAAGTCAGGTTGATTTCTGAAAGTAAAATAGAAATCTTTTGCAATTGAATTCTTGGATTCTGATATCTGAAAAATTTATGTTGTTTTTATGTCTTTAATGGCTAGATCTTTGTTCATAGATTATATTTTGACTAAAGAAGCTTTTCAGTTTCTACTGTTAAGAAGATAACCGGTTGCGTAATGCTGTTTTCATTAGTTTTCAGAATGTGATGATGCTGGAAGGAAATGATGATTTCATCCTTTGAAGAGGAATGAGGTGGTAAGGATTATTCTCGCAAGTATTTTGATATCATGGCCGATTCTTCTCCCAGTTTCTCTTTACCTTCTGAAACAATAAGTCCGAGACAAATATGTTCCTCAATTTTTCATACTTCTGGTTCTAAGGTGGGAGTTGGTGTGAAAAACTTACCGGAGTTTGAATCCGTTTGGAGTCCTACATCTCCTCTCGATTGCAGACTCTTTTCCAATCTCAGCAATGTTTTCGGTGTCAAGTCTTCAAGGAAAGCTGAGCATAAGAAACCGTTAGATGGAAGTAAAGTAGGCCTTGGTATCATAACTTCTCTCGTTAACGAAACCAAATCTAGTAACGAGATACTTGGTGAATTTCAGAGGAAGAATATAATTTTTGGATCACAGGTGAAGAACGGCATACTTCAATTCTCGAACAAAAACCTTTCTCTGGCGTCTTGTTTGAAAACCAATTCCCTGCCCAAAAACTATGTAATTTCACTTCCTTCGGAAACCAAAAGTCCCTTATCAAAAGTTGAAAACATTGACAGTGGTGTCAACGGTGAATCTTTGCCTGATTCCTCCAAACCTTCTTCATTAATCAACTCAACTCAAAACTCTAACTTCGGAACCAATGATTTGTTTGTAGAAGTTACGTCTACAACATCGAGCTTTGCTCCGGTTATGAACAGAAGTTCACCCGTAGATGATTCTTTAAAAATCAAATCATGTCCACTTCCGATATATGTAGGCTCACTCTCTGCAAAAGAGATAGAGCTTTCGGAGGATTATACTTGTATAATCTCTCACGGTCCAAATCCTAAGCGAACACATATATTCGGTGACTGCATTTTGGAGTGTGACAACAATGACTTTACCGAGTTCAGCAAGAAAGAAGAACCCGCTTTCAAATCTTCTCAAGAATCAGCGCCTCGTCGTTTCGACAGTGTTACGAGGTTTTGTTACTCGTGTTGTAAGAAACTAGACGAGGAGGAAGACATTTACGCATATAGGTTTGTCTTAAACATCTCACTTTTCTATCATGAGTTTTTCAGTTAAGCCAGAAGCATTAGTTGTAATTTATTTTATATATTTTGCAGTGAAGAGAAAGCGTTTTGCAGTTTTAAGTGTCGATCGGAGGAGATTTTTGCAGAAGATGAAATGGAGAAAACTTGCACTAACTCCGAAGAGCACTCTCCTAACTCAAGTTACCATGACGATATCTTCCTCATGGCTCTGCAAGTTTCCAAATAAAATGCTTTACTATGAAACTATTGTGAAGGTAAAAGACGTAGACAATCGGCTATATGGATTTGTTTTTGCTTTGGACTTTTGCGTATCGCTGTGCAAAGTATGCTATGTGTTAGTTGTCAAGAACCGAATTTCAATGGTTTTGTAGTTAGGAAAAAAAGAGTTTTCTCCATTATGATAACTCAGAACAGCTATGTGAATTGTAATGTTTGATGGATGAGCTGAAAGAGGCTACTGGGCCCTCTCTCATCTATATTTTATTGTCTATCATTGTTTTTTTATTCTACCTTTGTTTATATTCCATTTTTGCTACTCTAAAACCAATCATATTGCATATTTGTATATCATATGTCAATGTTTGGATAAGAGCTATATTATATATGATAAAGTATTATTATCTTGTCTTTTCTTCAAAGACTGTTCATTGTTTTGGTACAGTTAGGAAAATCGAGCCGAATTGATTGTTACAACCGAACTGCGTTTCGTGCATCGGTTCTGTGTCTCTGAATTAATACGACCTTTTTGAATTGAACTGTGACAAATTGCTAGTATTAACTGATATTAGCACGGTTAAGAAAACCAAAATATCAAACTGAATATATGGACTGTTGAACAAAACCAAATGGAACTGCACCGAAAAGAACTAAACCGTGATGAATAATTCGGTTCTTTCGGTGTGGTTCAGCTTCTTTTGAACTGTCCTAGTGGTTTGATTCATGTTGGCAACTCCACATGATGTTTGGTTGTTGTCCTAGTTGTATTGTTTGAATATTATTGGTTTGGTCAGAACCTGAATTTGAAATGATAATTTTGTTATGAAGAGCTATCAAATTACCCAATAACTATAAAATTTCAATTATGTATCCATAAAGTTCTCTCACTCTCTTCTTATGAAGAGCTTATTGAGCCTAATTACCACTTCATGGCTTAAGGACAAAATTGATTAAGTGATCAGCTTTTAAATCTAAACTTTGTTGCCATTAACATGTGCAATTTGCAAACAAGAAACTGATACCAAATTACCAATAATACTTTCATTTCTGATGCCAAAACATGTCTCTCTTAGGAACACTTTCCCTCTAATCAAATAGTACAAAAATTGCTTTATGTAGCAGAAAATACAAGATTTTTTCCCTTAGGCGAGTATTTCTCGCAAAAAACAAAAAACTGCGATCTCTCCGATATCCTAGAACACCTTTAATTGAAAATCAAGGTTCAGCTTTCTCTTTCTCTGATGTCGAAATATCAGCCAAAGCTTCTCCTACTGTGAGATATAGTCCTTTAAATCCAAAGGTATCCAAAATCTTCGACATATGCAATTTTTCCATCACGTTTCCAACAGGATTTACCAACACAAACTGCAGTAGAAAATTATAAATGTAGACGTTAGAAAGTGAATAATCGAAGTTTTTTTAGGCCGTATGAAATCAATGTCAACTAGTGTTTGTACCTGAAGTGATCTCTTTTCCAGCATCTTTCTAAGTTCACCTAAAGTTTCAAGTCCACTCGTGTCTATTGCTGTGACAGCTGAAAAAACAAAATATTGTTAAGTGAAGATGTTTAAAACTGATCAATATTGCATGATTGTTAAACTCTAACTGATGTTAGAGTGATGAAATCATTACCTGTCATGTCTAAAATTATGCACTTCAATGCATTTCCGTTATTTTCTTTTACACGATCTTCCTCTTCTCGAACCCATCTTAGTATCCTGTAGTAGGAGAAGCTCTTAGTCACATGAATCATGATTCATTCAAAGAAATATATACTGAACTTAACAAATTCAAATTTCAGAAATCTTTTTATCGAACCTCTCGCGAAGGTAAGTTGAATTCGCGAAATAGATTGGAGACTCAACAGCCAAAATGAGAAACGAAGGAACTCTTAAAGCTTCTTTATATTGGTTTATGTTATGGAATATTTGTGTTCCTGGTATGTTCCCCAAAACCAAAGTGTTTGGTCTAGAGACATGAAGTAGGATCTTAAAGACCGATATCGCAACCTGAAGATTTTCGCCAATAAAATTGTTATTCATAGCGCAAACACACCAACAAAGTTTTACATTGTCGACGCCACAGTATTTAAACTCGTTTATTTAGATCAGCTTACCGCGATACTGAGGCCTAAAGGCACAGAAAGGAAGAGAACACCGAAAAAGGAGCACACGCAGGCCAAGAAATCAAGTTTGTCAACCTTCCACAGTTTATGTGCGGCTTGGTAGTCTATCAGACCAATCACCGCAGCGATGATGATGGTCGCTAAGACAACGTTTGGCGTATAGTAAAAGAGCGGCATGAGAAACAAAAGGGTCACTAGAACAGCTGAAGCCATGATTATATTAGAAACCGCAGTCTGTGCTCCAGCATTGTAGTTAACAGCCGTTCGAGAAAACGATCCTGTTGTGACATAGCATGAAGTACAAGAACCGGCTATGTTCATTATACCAATAGCCATCATTTCTTTGTTTCCATCCACTTGGTAATTCTTAAGTGCTGCAAATGTTCTACCTACCGCAATTCCTTCCTAAAAACATACAAAAATTTAGTCGAATACGAGTAAATCACACAGTTAACATGTGATATATCTAAGTACAAAATCTAGATGCAGTGCTTACAGTGAGAGATAGAATCCCAGTGACAATGCCTGTTTTGATAGCAAGAGCCAAGTAAGGACCATTGAAGTATAACAGGTTTACTGATGGTGGATTAACACCCTTTGTTAAGTGTCCAATCTGCCGAATAATACACAGATAATCGGTTATTAAAAATTGATCGATATTTTAATCGAATAGTTACGATGAAGTAAGTAAAATTTTCTTACCACTGAAATTTGATGAGTTTTATTTCTGAGAAGAAAGACTAAAATGGTTGACAGAATAACTGATGTTAAAGGAGCAGCTGCTGAAGCCCAGAAGAGTTTTGGTTTCCTCAAACTCTGTTGCAAATTTTTCATAAAAAAATGTTAGAACTCATAGAAATTAAAAATGAATAAATAACCAAAGAAAATTATATAGTATATGATTTAATGTAAGATAGAGAAATTTACAATGTGTCTTGTTGTGAGAAGGAAAGCCAAGAAACCAAATCCCATAACAATAGTTTGCCATGACCACTGCAAAAAAATTAAGATACTTTAGTCAATTTACACTACCATCACAACATTTAAAATTACCCTTATACCCTCATTCTGTTGTTATAATTTTTTATATTAAACTCTTATTAGTGATCTAGCAAAAAAGAATCTTTAAAGATAAAAAAAAAATTGGAATATGATTCTTTGTTATAATCATAATTAATACCACAAGAAAGCATATATGAAAATAAAATAGACCTCCTTTGCTTAGAAATCATGCCTGGACAAATGATGAACTCAGAGAAAAAGGATGGTGCAAGTCAACTAATGACATTTATGTATATCGAATTGAAAATTTTAAATTATTTATATGATTTGATATTTTAAAATATTCTGATTGAATGTTTGTGTAATATTTTTTGACATTAATAGTGTACTACGATTAAACTCATATAATAATTATTTTTAATTTACTTTAAAAAGATGATTTTTTTTATGGAAACTAAACATACACACACTCTTGTCAGTATTCTAAACAAAAAAATTTATTAAATAAGTTATGTATCTGATATAGAAGATATGGTTAAAATACATTGACTATTTAATAAAATGATAATATTGACTAATAGTTTTATTTAATATGTACCTCATTCTTTTGGTTGTAAACAGAGAGCAAAACAGGAATAATTTGCATCTTGTTAGTAAAATGCACAATTCCAAGTAACCCTTTCAACTGTTGTAATGAAACAATGATAGCAGCACCAGCCATGAAACCAACCAATGTAGCCTTTGATAGAAAATCAATTACAAAACCCAACCTGAACATAGTCAAATTCAAATATTCATTCATTTTTTCAAGGAAGAAGAAAAACCAATTAAAATAATCTCAAAAATGCTATAAAAAAAATCTGAATTTGACCAAAATTGAACCTTAATATGCCAAGTGAAGCTTGGAATAACCCAGCAACAAAAGTTGCAGTGAAAGCCAATTGAAGATAAAGAGTAGGATCTTTAGTGAAAGAAACACTTTCACTCAACATTGATCCCATAACCAATGATGCAATTGAAACTGGTCCAACACCAACATGTCTTGAACTTCCAAGTAAAGCATATATCAATGGTGGCACAAAACTTGAATCTAAAATCATATTCAATTTTTTTCCATCATAATCATTCCATTAACAAAAAAAAAACATAAATTAAATTAAATTAAATTTAATACTTACATAATCCAATAATAGGCGGCAAGTTTGCTAATTTCGCATAACTTATCCCCTGCAATTTAATAGTTTCAGACATGAGACACGTCAAAGACACAAGACACGACACTTATCATACATAATAATTAAATATAACACATGTCTCCGTGTTTGTGTCTGGTCTAATTAATTAGACAGTGACCAGACACGGAGACATGCAACCATTACATGCAAGCATTACCTGAGGAATGGAGAGGCTGGCAATGGTGAGGCCGGAGATGATATCGGAGCGGAGGAGTTTGAGATTATAGTTGGAGCCCCATTGGAAAATGGGGAACAAGAATTGAAGAGTGAGAAGAAACTTGGTGAAAGATGGTTGGTTTTTGAAACGGTGCAAAGGATCATCAGGGAAGAAGATTTCAGAGAGACGTTGTTTGAGTTTGTTGAGTGAAGTTCGTTGCGGTGGTAAACGAACTTGATGAATTGGAATTTCAGTTTGGATTTTCATGGTGGATTCTTCAAAGTGTTCTACTCTGTTACAATTCATACCCATGTTTCTCTCTGATAACTCTCTCTTACACTTTTTTTCTCTTTTCATAGGTAAACTAACCCATTTTATAGAACTTAGGGGCATTTATCAGGGCTATTTTCGTCCCTTTTTATTATTATTTAAATCCTCTTTTTTTCGTTTATTAACTGTCGTTTTTTAATTGTATTTAACTTTTTTTATTACTTATTGTTTTATTTTGTATTATTTTAAATGGATAGTGGAGTATATTGACTTAAAAAATATTTATACAAAATTTATTTTAAGATAAAAATTCTAAGAAAATATATAACTACATTTAGTATGACTTGTTTTTCCGGTATCTAAGCTAACTATCAATATGTAATGTAGGGAGTTCTTTATATACGTGTTTTTGGATCCTTCCTCCATCTTATATTATTTGCGGTTCTATATTATTTATCATAATTAATTATTTTATATAAATTAAAAAATGATAATAAATAAAAGAAAAATAATAGTGATTCTAACAAATTATCTTAATTAATTATTAATATATTTAAATTAATATTAATATTAAATGTGAAAATAATAAATTAAAAATACTTATTAAAAAGTATAATTAAAAGATTAAATATAAAATTATATTAATAATTTAAAGTAATAAATTTTTTGAGACAAATTTTGTTCTAACAAGTATTTTAAAACGGAGAGAATATTTTTAAGAATTTTAATTAATTTTTTTTATACCTTGATCAAACGCATTAAAAAAAAAATTAATAAGAATGCACTGTTAATATAAAAAAATATTATACAAACACTCCATCAAAATATTTTAAAATACTAAATCATATAAGTAATATAAAATTTACTGTCTAATTTATCAAAAAATTTAATTATAAAAATAATTTACATTTGTTAAGGCACATCTCTCTTTCAAAAAACACTTTTTTTTTTACAAAAAAAAATCTCTAGAGCACTTGCTAACCTTTCCTTTTATACATGCTTTTTAACCACTTTAAAAGTTTAATTTTCTCAAAAAAGAAAATTTTATAACTTTTTATTAATAAAAAAATCTCAATATAATATGGTTATAATATCGTTTTTTATTTCTTAAATAAAAAAACTAACTTTAAATTAATATTTAATATTTTTTATCTTACATGTTAATATCACTATTTCACTATTTAAGTTTCTCTCTTGAGTCAAAATTCTATTATCACTGTATTCATTAATTTCTCACTTTTATTATTATTATTATTATTATTATTATTATTATTATTATTATTATTATTATTATTATTATTATTATTATTATTATTATTATTATTATTATTATTATTATTATTATTATTATTATTACTATTATTGTTATTATTATTATTATTATTATTATTATTATTATTATTATTATTATTATTATTATTATTATTATTATTATTTATTAAAAAATTTAACATTGAATATCAAAATAAGTAATTTCAATTTTTTTATTATTATTATTATTATTATTATTATTATTATTTATTATTATTATTTCTCACTTTTAAAAATATGTAATTTCAGTTTATTAAAATTTCTAACGTTGAATATCAAAATTATTAAATTTTAAAAGCACTCTTTTTCAAAAAAAGTTTCATTATTTTTGATTAAGTTCACATATAAAATTACTTTAAAAAATATATAATTAAAATTACTTTTTTTAAAGTTGTAACAATATATTAAAAAGATCACCCGTTCCTGTCCTATCTTATCCCGGTTTAAGTCCGTTAGAAAAAGAGTGAAGCGGACAAACCCGTTAAATAAAAATAGATATAAAAATCTAATTCGACCTGTCAAAATCGCGGGTTGGCGGGCGACGGACTTGTCAACTTATTTATTTATTTATTATAATTTTTATTTTTAATATATTAAAGTTTTATTCTATATTTTAATTAGATTTTTCACTTATTTATTAAAATAATTTTTAACAAAATTTACTTAAAAAATATTACATATCTTCATAAATAAATGAATAAAATAAAATCATCAAGAATTAGACCTATTAGAATTAACTAAAAAAATAAATTTAAAGTGGGACAAGCTAAACGAATAAGAACGAAGGACTTTGGTGAAACGGACTTTAATGGACAATGATCTTTAACGAGACAGACTTTAGTGAGTGACGGATCCCAAATTTGAATTTAACCCTTCATTTTTTGACGAGTAAGCGGATCAGCCTGACAGACCATCGTCCATTTTATCATATATATATATATATATATATATATATATATATATATATATATATATATATATATATATATATATATATATATATATATATATATATATAAAAGTGATGTTATTAACTTTTATTTATTTAAATAAGTAATATATATTTTTGAAGAAAATTTAAATATAATTTATTAAGTGATTTATATTATTTTTAATGAAAATATAAAAGTGTAATTTCCTCATATGTATTTTTTTTGCATTTTTATTTTTTAAATAATATTTAAATACACTTACATATTTTTATTAGAAAAAAATATAAATTACAATTAAAAAATTATACGTAAATATTCTCTATTTTATTTATATGTGTTATATATAATTTTTCTTTGAAAGTATCAATGTAATTTGGATTTTTATAGTAATACATACTTAGACATTTCATAATCTTATACTTAGTAACTTTTACTTTCGTCTTAGTCATATAAATATTATTTGTATTCATATTTTAATACAAAGTTTTGATTATGTTAATCTGCAATTTTAATCTCTATTTTTATTATAGTTTCGATTAATTTGTACTTTTTGTATTAGAGTGATTGGTTTTAATTATTATTATATATTCTATTTTGACTTTTTCAAAAAATAATTTTAATTAATTTATATTTAAAGTAATGAACATTTATTCTATCAATGAATTTAGCCTCCCATTTTGGATGATGAAGAGTTACTATTAAACATACGTGGAAGTGATATCACCTTCTATTCTTTTTTTTTATAATATTATTTAAATAGATATTTTTTATAACTTAAAATTGTAATTAAATAAATTAATATTTCTTAAACTTTTACCAGTAAGTTAACCTCTCAAATTTGTTATTCGCATATTTAAATTTGTTTATTTATTTATATATTTCATTAATAATTGATTATGACCGTAAATTTATCATCAATGAATATTATTTTAGATCATTTAAAACATTTAGAGAAAGACATAAAAATATGTAGGCAAGATGAGACGGTTGTCGCATTATGAAGACAAACTTGTCATGTTGAATACTTAGATTGATCTCAAGTTGAATTAGTCGAACACCGAGGTCGACTTGGCCCAAGATTGGGAAACCGACTCTACATATAGAAAAATCTATCTAGAATTATACAATTCAAATTAATTACATCTACAATCTTCCAAAAACATCAATCTTGCAAACTCGTTTTAAATCACTTCGCTCTTTCAGGTCTCGTACTTGAGAAACTGTGAACTGCTATGTTTATAAAGGCCTAGATATGTTTTTAAAAACTTAAAAGAGGCACACCTTGTCCCCAAGCAATTTGCCATTACACGCCTCATGTTTGGGAGACTGCGTACTACCATGTTTTCTTATTTAATCGCTTCGTCCTTACACATTTTTCGTGCTTAAGGGACCGTGTGGCGGTATATCTGTAACAAGTCAAATCTATTTAATATCAGTTGACCCCGGTCCTTTACGATTAGAACCCTCTAACCTTTTAAAGAGTACTCAAAAGAATATGGACGAACTTAAGCCCAATGTTGAGCGAGCTCAAATCCAACATGGACGGACTTAAGCCCAGCATGGGACAGGCTCAAGCCTAACATGGTCGAGGCTCAAGCCAAAATATGACCGAGCTTGCCGCATACCCAATTAAGTATTATTTTAAAATAAGAAGACTAATTTCATAAATAAGATAAAATCTAGAAGCAAAACTATAATTCATCCTATCTTATAATAATTCATCAGATAACATACTATTTAAAAATATAAGTTAATAAAAAAAAGTTAGTTCTTAATAACAACTTACTATAATCTATATATATATATATATATATATATGATAATTCATACATTAACAATTATGTCAACTCATAACTAATTATTTAATTAATTAATTTAATATTATTTTACTTGAGTGACAATTTTTTTTTGGAATCAAAAGACTTTTTATTTCTAAAAACAATTAAATACAACTGATTAAATAATCTAGGTGATGATATAGGTTACTCTTCTATACATATGGTATCTATGTTTACATGAGAATAAAGAGTCCTATTTAGACTACATCTAACCACTATGTTGTAAATGATAGTATTTTTTAGATGAGGATCAATAAAATAATAGCCTGAGAAAAAAACAATGTCATTCCTTGCTTGCTGTATTCTATAAATGTGTTAGCAATAACTACTTTTAGCACATCCCTTCTCCATCATTTTCTAAAGGAGTTTGCCCATGGTTGCTTGATTCCATTCCTCTAGAGATATTATGTTCAACCCTCTAGTCCCTTTTGGATTCCACACTGAGTCTCAAGCAAGAGGTGCCTTACGGGTGATTTCCCCAGCCCCTCTCCACAGAAAATTTCTACTGATGGCTTCTATGTGCTTATTCACACTTTTGGGCACTGGAAACACATGCATCCAATAAGATGTGATGGAAAAAAGCACATTGCGAATGATTTGGTATCTGCCAGCATAACTCAATAGTTTAGATGTCCATAGCCTAACTTTTCCCATAATTCTATCAATTAATGGTCTACACTGGTGAATATTTAAAATGGATAGTACCACCAGAAAAACTTGTTATGCTCAGAAGTTGATCTTGCTCATTCTTTGACATTCCACCATAATAAATCTTACATTTTGTAGGGTTTGCTTTCATCCCGGTAGGTTCTAAGAAGTGATTGAATTCATACATCATGATTCTAATTGAGATTTCATCTCCTCTTGCAAAGAGGATGAGATCATCAGCAAAACAAATATTGGTGATTTGAAGTTTCTCACACTTAGGATGATAATTGTAATTGGGTTGGCCTTGCAGATT